AGATTCAGCACAATTATAAAAATTATGAATTAGCGATGACAAAAGGATGAATAACAAAATGTAACATAAACTCACCCTTCTCCAGCATTGTCCATTTTTTGTAGCGCCAGATTCAGACATATCGCTAATTCGTCCCACTTTCTATTAATTGTCTCCTTTGATCTCCCTCCAAGCCCAACACTGTCCTTAGCTAAATTAGGATGAATTTCTGCAAAGACAAGTACCTCATCGATTTACAATGTTGAGATTATATTTCATTTTGAAAATTAACACAAACACCTCCTAGTCAGACAAAATCTCAAACACAAATAAACACTATGTTCACGTTTTCTAAGGCATTTGCAGCCTTTAATGAACAAGCAGTCATCTAGAACTATATAGGTAAGTGCCAGCAAGTGCTGATTGATTTAGAGTCCATCTGGAGAGGCTACCACAAATCCAACCCCTTCTGAGCAAAATGAAAACTCCAGTGTTATTCTGGAAGATCAAAACATTGAAATCAGTGGAAGTGGTTCTAGAACAGAAACTAATTATTTAGATAAATATTATTTTTTCTGGCATATTAACAAAATCTGGTACATCAAAGAAGGAATTGAGCCCAAAGGAATCAATGATGGATAAAGTCCACGGGAATGTTTGCTCAAGGCTATCCAAATTAAAATCAATTTTCATTGTCGCTGGGGTTAACAAATCAAACTATTTCAAATTTGTTGAAGGCTGGCACATAACAATTAGATCTGTTATGTCACTATGTAGGGATCTTAAGGAGAGGGGCTTGAAATATCTTTGTTTGAGAAATTTAAATCAAGATTCCCTGGAAAATTTATTTGGTCAAGTAAGACAGCATGGTATCTTTAATACAAATCCCACCTGTCATCAGTTGTTGCTGTCTTAAAAACAGTAATTAATAATTTCAACACACCTTTTTCGAAAGGTAATTGTGAAATCGATTTTTGTGATACTTTGGTCAATTTCAGTGACTTTTTGGATAAATATGAGCAAAGTAATGATACAATGCTTCATTTAGACCAGGACTGTCCAACATACTCCTTTCTTGCGGCCCGCTTTCGGGTCATGTATACATCACAAGTATGAATTACTCTCAAATACCGAATATGCATATACCTATTAAAACTCAGTAATAATGTTGTATAGAAAGATTTTATAATGCGGCCCTCCAAACTGCATTTTTTTTAAGTGGCACTTGGGCCACATGAAGTTGGACAGCCCTGATTTAGACCATGAGATTCTAAGTGACTCTGTCATGGAAATAATGGACAGTTCTGTTGAATAGAATCCTTCAAATGGTTATGTGGGTGGCTGGCTACATTTTGGACAGACTCAAAATTGATAGTAATTATGAATCCTGTGCAATGTTATTTTCTTTGGTTGTCACTGAAAAACATCTATTTGTGACGTTTAAAGAGCATGATGAGGAAAAGGGATTGAATTATGAAGTGAAGATTTAATTATCCTGATTGGTCTTCTGTATGCATTTTTAGAGCAGCATGTACAGATGACCAACTGGAAGTTAAATCTAAACAGAAGTATTCCTACATCCTTCAAAATTACAGCTTTTGTCAGCAGCATGATGTGGCAAAAGGTATAATTGAAAAAACTGCTCGGTTGAGAATTTACAAATATGTAAAGAGAAATTCTTTGAAAAGGAGTGGTGAGACTACTAATAGTCACATATCAACAAATAAGAAATTCAAGACAGCTAAAGTCAGGTAATGCTTTTTTATGTAGTCCAGCACTCTTCATTCATTGAATTTTCTATTTACTTTCAGTAACCAAATACTACTGTGATATTATACCTAGACAATATTTTTTTGTTTCATAGTTGCAGCATCCTTGGGAGGGATCAGTTGGACGAAGAATAATTATTTATTTTGTTACTGCTGTCATGTTAAAGCCATGAGGAGCTTTTGGTTTTAAGTATGAGGAATGTCTTGTTTATTTTTAACTTTGATTCCTTCTTTGAAGAAAATGTTACTCATTTTTACACTATAAAAAATAATGTTTTTTCTCTGATATTTTTTTCATTTAACTACAGAGATTTATTTTTTGTTTTTTTAGTATTAATGTTGATGTTTCAGTGATAAATATACCTCAAGATGGATTAACAATAGGTAGTTCTTGCTAAGCACTTCCTTTGATTTGTGAGGGTCCCTTTTTATCGTTTTGTATGCTACTAAAGTATGATTTGTATTTTTTTTTTTGAAACATGACTTATTCACTTTATATGTAATATAGAGAAAACTCCGGATGTCTAAAAATACCTTTATATATTATCAATGTAGGGTGATGATAAATTATTACTTATTCTTATTCATATATTTAACTATTTATATATTATCCAAAATCATTTTTGCAAACTTATTCAGTGGTTTAATAACCGAAAATTAACAATTAACCTTACTAAAACTCATTTTTTACCATTTTCATCACTATCTAATCATCTACCAAAATATAACCACCTTCGGTTTAAGGTAAATGATAAAAATATAAAAATCAATAGAGTTAATGATACAAAATATTTAGGAATTTATCTAGATCCCCACTTGAGATGGGATGTACATATTTCTCACATACTAAAGAAAATTAGATTCATAGCATATAAAATAAAATTTCTAACCGGTATATTAACTGAATATTATCTACGAATAATATATCAAGCTAGTCGAGCCACACATAACATATGGTATAGTAGTGTGGGGTGCTGCATGCACGACATACTTTAACGATTTAGATGTACTTCAAAGAAGAATTTTAAAATCAATGTTAGGCAAATCAAAATTATACCCAACTAATGACTTATATAATGATGCACAAGTATATGATACTAAACAACTTTACTTCTTACATACCATCACTCATTATCACAAAACTATTAGTGAACACGACATAATTAAACATAATCATAAAACCAGATATAAATTACGCGCAAAAAATGTTCCTAAACCAAACAAATCCCTAATGAAACGATGTCACCTGTATATAGCTCCAAAATTGTACGAACATTTACCAAATAATTTAAAACAATTACGCAATACATTAGGCTTCAAAAAAAAATTAAAAAAATTTATTAACACGATTGGGAGAAATCAAATTAATAAAATAATCTCAAATATTACACAATAAATGCTCTACCATTCTTACCAATAATTTCTTTTTTCTCTCTATTTTATTATATTTTGCAATTCAACATACATATGATCCATGCACAGGCGTTGTCCTCCTATGGATATATTATATTTATTTACTCGTTTCATGTTCCCTGTATTTTAGAGTAAATAAATATTATTATTATTATTATTTAATAAATATTTTACCAATTGCCCATTTATTTTTTATTATCCCAAAATTGGTTTCCATCAAAACTGCTAAATCAGGTATTTCCTTTATTGAGGATATTTTATGCGTCTATGCTTATAAAATTTTTCTTCAATATGGGAAATATCACTTTCAGAAGATTTTAAATTGTAAACAAACTAAATCCTCGGCACATTCCTAGCATGCCTAATCTCCCGGCGCATTCTTTGAATTCCTTCGATAGTTCTTCCAGATCTCCAGGCAAGAAGGCGGCGCAACCACCTGCCAAAACGTTAACGGTGTTGCCGTTGTTTAACGTTCAGCTCCCACTTCTTCAGTCTTATGTGTTCTGTGTGGTAGTCCTACTTTGACCCGCCAAGAACGGTGACGATAACTATAGCATCAGGGGGGTGAAACTCATATGGGCGAATGGGAAACAAAGTACATTTCCTATCATGTGACAAATTTTTTAGTTTGATTTTATTCAAAAATGGCACAATTTATCGATATTCAATAAGAGAGTACCTTTTTTATATAGAAAACCATACATTTTCAAATTCTAGTCCCTGTTACACACGCTTCCAAACAAAACTGTCTAAAATTGTTAATATTTTTAAATCCAGCCTAAAAAACTAGGCTAGAATACCAAATTTTGTCTTTATCTCAACACGTTTCGGAAATATTAAGGAAAAACTATCTTCAGAGGAGTCCCTTTAAAAGACCGTAGCACCCTTAGGGGACGTTTGTCGATCTATGTTTATATAAACTTTTGTTCCTATTGTAAGCTCTAGAAACCGCTGGTAGAATATTGCACACTTTTTCGGGACACCCTGTATATAAAAGTATAGTAATCTCATATTTATATGCAGAGCTGGCAACGTTGCCTAAAAAATGGCCTCTGACAACCACACAAGTCAGCCGTGTTGCCAAATTAATTAGCATGGAATTGAACCTTCAGTGTATATGTTTTGTGGGCAGCATGGTACGTGCTTTGGCAGTGGCTGGCAAGCTAGCTGATATATTTCTTTTTTTTGTTAGAGTGGGCCATGTAGTATTGATGTATAACATCTTAAGATTACTCTATTTAAGCCTTAATTATTGTATATATTAGTTAGTCGATTGCTATTCATTGTTATATCTTTTTTTTGTATGTGTTTCTGCGCTGTGAGGTTAAGTGGTAGAGTAGCCAGCTGGATAAACTTCGCCTCGCAGTGTGGATGGATTTCTAAAGACATTATTATTATTATATTTAGCTTTGTGAGAAAAGGTGATATAATTTTTATATGAATGATTGACCATAAAATGACTATAATTATTTCTTGAATTTTAATTCCTCCCTTCGTATCCCCTGGAAAGATTTTCCACAAGCCATTTTACGTAATAAAAACACTCCGAATGGTTTAATTTCTGCTATATTAGTCAGTAATACGTGACGCGCGACTCATCCCAGCATTGGAGAAAGACACTGTGTGTCGAAATGCGCGTCATGTATTAAATGACTAAGAAAGTGGAAATTAACCCATTTGGAGTGTTTTTGTTACGTAAGACGATTTATTATTAACAGAATGTAAAAAGCCCCATTAGGTTTGTCCTATTAAGATGGAAAGGCCCATTATTCAGCACTGGTGTGCGGCCAATCCACCAGAGGTCGCAGAAATACGGTAACTTATTTTATTATTGGAGTTTCCCATCTCTAGAAGGGTTTATCTCTGGTGGCTGGCTTTTGACATTTGACATGACAATTTGACAGAGACAGCTACATATTTGAAAAGAGGTTACAAAATTGTTTCTGTTTTAGAACTAGAAATTGGTATTTTCTTAAATATTTGATAAGGACTGTAATGAGTGTAGAATACATTTATAATTTATAATAATGGCCGAAAATGCAGCTAATCTCACAGCAACTCTGCAGGTCAAACCTAGTATATTTGAAATAATTGCACAAAAATCATTGAATGATATTTTACAACCAGCTTTTAGGAAACTGGCAGAGGTAAGTTTAGCCTTTTTGTTGCAATAAAAAAAAACAGTCTTTTTGTAGGTATTAGCTACTAATTTTCCAAAAAGATTTGCATGGCTTAACAATTATTGTGAAGAATCTTTTGTAGTGATAAACTGGCTTTTACAGTACAACTATCTGAAAAATTATGGTAAATACATTTTCGTATCTTATGACTACTTGCTAGTTATATTAAATAATGTTCATGGCAGAGGTATACCTGAGAAGTTGGGAGCCTCTTAAATAATTCCACAAAAGATTGGATTCTTTTTAGAGGAAGCTCTACTGCACCTAGATCTAAGGTATACTTTTGATTAAAACAATATTTAATTATAGTATTTTACTATACAGCTGGATGTGAAGTATAATATAAGAAATTATATATGAAATATAATTGTCCTAAAAAATACCAAGAAGTGGTAAATAAGTGCAATTATCCCTTATCACCTTGAACTTCCTAGTTGTGTGTGAACTTTCACTACTAAGTAATATCTCTCTAAATGCTGTATAGATAATATGATAAAATCATTACAATCCTGTTTTTGTAGATTCAACATTCTCTGAGAATTTTTATGGGTTTAAGAGGATGTGTGTTGATGGGAAAAGCCTCTCAAACCATCACATAGAATTGTCTTTGTTATTTATTGTTTTGGTGCCTTACTTTAAGAGGAAGTTTGATAAAAAAGTTACTTTATATATGATAGAGGAAGCAGATGGATATTTTAAACAGGCAAGTATTTTGGGTACAAATCTCCGGAGAAAAATGTGAGTCTTCAATGATGAACATTAGTAAAGAAGCAAAAAAGATATGATCTGCTTATTATTGGATTCAAAAATCACAAAATGAAAATTCATATTCTATTTACTCATCCATTAATCCTTAAGACAGTATATCAGTGCTGGATTAAGCTAATGTAGGGTTTGAACCAGCAGTGGTCTCTCCCCCAGGAGTGGTGCTTCTATAAAGTGTTTGTGTGAAGGGACTTCATATGCGCAAGACCTCTGGTATTTGTGACACTTGTTAATCTACCACTTTTTCAGTACAAGGTTTGAGTTATGCAAAAAATTTTAGAAAAAAGTCAAAATCATGTGATTAACCATAGTAATGAAGAGCAACTCATTTGTTTCCTTATTTTTATCATTTATCTTGATATATAGTCTCCTTATACTTTATGAAATACATTTGTTGATAACATGCAATATAAACATAAAAAGAATTTTCTCCATACAGTCTTTTAACACTAACTACTACTAACTGAAAGCTCAACACAAACAAATATTGTTTTTATACACATCGTGCTACATAATGATAAATGTTACATATCACATCTATTCTATTCAATCACCAAGGAATTCCTCAACACTCTATGACCCCAGGTCTATCAAGAACTCTCATAGCTCCCTTTTAAATATCTTTGTGTTCGTAACAGATATAATCGTATTGCCCAGATTGTTATAAAGTTTAATTCCCTTGTAGTAAAGTTAATCTGTGTTTTGAGAGACATAAAATTGTTTGGGAATTATAATTAGGACTAGTTCTTCCAAGACACTTATATGTATTGTTAAAAACAAATAAAATAGTAAATAGTTAAAATTATTTTTAAGTCTTAAAATGTGCTTCTGCAAGTTTGCAAAATACAGTGTTTTTATTGTTGCTTCATTTAAGTATTTTGAGAAGTCAGATGCATAATTGAAGAATGAAGGCTACAAACACAATGATAATTTCAATAGAAAAGAAGAAGGCCTTGCTTTAAACAAAACGTGGTTCCCAATTCTAAAAAACACAGCGCAAAAACCACGTCACTCAAGGGACCCAGAGTACTCCCACCAGACAACTCAGTCCGCCGATCGCCTATAAAACCGTACGCCCATCCAGTTGACCGATCAGTTTCAGTCGACCCGCCAAGCTGAGTACTTCGTTCTCGCCGACAGCGCCACTGAAGATGGCTACCGAAGATGTAGACGAAAGCTCTGGATCAAATCGAACCCGACCACAGCTCAACAGCCTGAAAAACCTAAATGATATCAGATGCATAAGTTTTATTGAGTTCTTTATGTATATAATTATGTATGTTCATCCAGTTTAAGAAGCAATGCAGATGCAAAAATTTAGTGCGGTTGGTTACTTTTAATTCAGAGTTGTTTATGGAAACTGATTCAGGTTTTTCTGTTTTGTTTAATTTGGTCTTGAATAGAATTAAGATTGTATTTTTCCTCATTTAAACCTAATTTGCTACTAAACCACGTACCTGCTAATGTAAATACATCTTGCACATTTTCTATGAGCTTAGAATTAGTTGATACCTTTACTAATGAATTGGTGTCATCTGCAAATTGAATGATATTCAAATGGTTTAGTATTGCACCACTTAAATCACTTACATACATTATACATAAAATGGGAACCAATCCTATCCTGGGGTACCCCCACTTTACTATAAGATATTTCAGGTTTATGGGATACAACATCTCTGAGTCACAACGCTTTGAAGCCTGTTATACATATAAAACTCGAACCACTTTAGCGCCACTCCTGCGTTTCCTTATAATTCAAGGTTTTGAAGAAGCATAATCCGATCTAAACAACCAAATGCCTTTGATAGATCCAAATGCATAACAAGCCTCATATCACCCTCCAAATAGCTGTATGTGTCGGCATTGTATTGATGTTTACAAAAAACGTTGCATTCTGTCATACACTCGTTAATGAACACGTGATAACTCATTCATTATATCAGGTAACATAATGTAGTCGTTGACTGTCTCATGAGAATTTCTAGCAATTGAGAAGCCAGTTTCAAAAATGATATTTTACATCATTTTCCTATAAATTGCCACATACATGTAATTTTATTTTCCGTATCCTTTATTCTAGTAGAATAATTATATTATCTAATCTGGTTTTAATCAGTAGTTGATCATACTTCTTTCTTCTATGTACATCTTATGATAGTTGTTTTGCGTTTTCAATACCAGGAGAAGCTCCAACCATTGTTTTACTTTTAGAATTTTCCCATTTCTTGGATATTATATCCATTTACGTCTCAGGTTTGGATCAAACAACTTCTTTGGGAAATTCTCATTAAAGAACATTAAAAAAGTTTTCATAAATACATTGGCTTACATTTTCAAGAACATCACCATGCTTCAGAGCAAACGACAAACCCAGAAGTACAAAACAGTTTACGATTTCTTTATCTGATAAAAAATAAAATATTAGTCGTCATACCCATTTCTTATAGTAAAGCTCTTGAAAGTAACAGAATTTATTTGCGGATTCTAATGATGTGAACCATTATTTCTGCTGTATTTTTATGCTCAGTTTGCCTGCTGTGTTTTGTAGTAGTGGGTTATAAGGATCTTGGTTTCCATTTTTTAAATAATTCATAAGTTTTCCAAGTTCCTTTATCTAGGTCTACGCATAAAAATCGAGCATACATAGGTCCCACAGAAAATTCTATATTTTTGCAATATTTTGAATTTTTGTAGTTGCCATATCTTACCCGTGAATCTTCAGAAAAGCTGCATGGTACTGTGAAACCGAATCACTCTTGGTAAACTGACTACTGCATATGCATTTTGTTATCGAGTGAATGAATAATTTTGTCAATATAAAGTGCTTTGTTCCATGAATGGAGGATTTAGTTTTTTTTGTAATTTCGATGACATTCTGCATGACCTAGTATTTTATTTTATTAACGAAAAAATGATGGTTGTGTCGCTTTGTAATACATATTATGACAAAGAGTAGAAGTGGAGGAAATTTGTTTAATGACATTTTCATCATTTCGTTCGGAAAGCCATGAAGCGCTGGGAAATCGAGTCATTAGATATTTTGACAACTTTGAAACAATGTATAGGGAGAATATACATCAAAATCAATGATAAAAATAAGAGAACAAAGGAGTTGATCTTCGTTCTTCAACAAGCGATGGTTTATCGCATGATTTTGGCTTTTTTTCTAGAAATTCACAAAATTGTGCATAACTCAAAAACGGTTAAGGTATATGTGACTCAGTGTGTTCCAAATGAGGTATATTGTCACCCCTTAAAAGGTTGGTATCGACGTTTCTAACACCCTGTGTAATAGATCATATAGTAAAATGCATTCCCTCTAAGGGCGAATCCAGACCCACTTGAGCGAATCAAGATTGTTCATTAATAAGTTTTTGATATCCCTGCTCTTCAATTTCCTTTGGCTCTCTGAAACAGTGATTCAGCAGGCGCCACCACGACACTATTCTTCAATTTTCAATCGCTAAGAAAAAGGATAATTTATTTACTCACATACATTTTTTAATTTTGGTTATGTCTTCTGCACTAACCCCATCTCTATACATTTCACGATTTCTGGTTCATATCTCAAAAACAAATAAGTTAGTATGATACTACAAAAATTACTTAAATATTTACACTTTTACCTTAAAATTGAAAAGCATTTATCTCCACTGAGCACATATATCTTGTACATAACTCAAAAAATAAACGGGTTATGATGGAACTGCAGATATACAAATATATTTATACATTAATATGTAGGGTTACTGAAGAACCTTAATGTTTGGAACATTGAGCTTTCTCTGTATATGTACTCGTAGTTTCCATGGATATGACTAAGGATCTGCTTTGTAGGATTTTGAAAGCAAGTTTAAAAAAATAGTAATTCATTCACATTCCGCCATGGAACTAACATGGAGCCTTATAAGCATTTATAATTATATGAAATATATGACCAATCAAACAGAGTTCCAAACTCCTTCATACAGAATGATAGATGTTAAGCTGGTATATGATACACAACCACCACATGGTACAAGTTTTTGGCCTAATGTTTTGAAAGGAGAAATAAGGTATTTCCACAATAATAGTAACAGTTATAGTAAAATAATATTTGAATATTTAATAGCCTCTGGGCATGTTTGCGACAGTACAATTTGCATTGCAGATTATAATAAGTTTTTTTATATTTTAGCAAGGTGCAGCTTAACTTCAAACATTTCACTAGTGCCCTAACAACTACCTTGGAAATAGGTGCATTCTTTTTACAATTTCTTCAGACTTGGACTACTCAAAAAACAAACTATAGTATCACAAATCTTCCTAACGTGCCGCCTCCACCAGTAAGTGCAATTCTAGATAAATATACAATTATTAATGGTAGCTACAAGATTTATAAAACAAGAAGCGTAAAAATACATATGTCAAAAAACAAATATATGGATAAGAAATATAAATATATGAATAAGGAGATTATAAAATAACTATAACAGGCGTCTGTATTTATTAGTCAGAAAGTAACAATGCTTTTGAGTGAACCTAAGCGGCGAAGGTTACCTTAGAGTCTTTTTCGCGAGTATCCATTACGTGAAACCTGACAACAAATAACAGCTGATTTTCTTGTACATTTCAAAATACCGAATATTGACAAGTGACACACAACTCTGATGCATCTGTCAATGCTAGATATATAAACGTAGTCGTATTTTGTTGTAGTCATTTGTACGCTACGGATTCATACTCCTAACAACGTTTTTATTTAGAAGAGTTCCTACTGACAAAAGGAAAATGATACAAACAATATGACTGTTAATAATCAATACTTCATAATATTTAGAAGAGTACCTACTGACAAAAGGAAAATGATACAAACAATATGACTGTTAATAATCCCTACTTTATAATATTAGAAACATGAAAGTGTGTATGTATTTTCTGTCTTTACGCCAAAATCGATTTTGATGAATTTTAGCATATATACGGGATATCAGTGGCATATCATTGTGTGAGTTCGAAAAACAAAAAAATAGGAGGTCAATTGACACAGACATTAGATTTTCAATGTGTATTTTAGTGCTAGTGTATAGTCTAGGTGGCGGTGGGCTAGGACGGAGTATATTCATGACTATACCACCCGCGGCTAAGGTGGAATCCACAAACACTGGCAACCATGTAGTTCGCTCTAGTTTCATTCATAGGTCAATGTATTATCTATATACTCTTTGCACTTACCGTTCAGTTGAATCATTCCTAAGCAATATGATAGATATCATGTTAGGCAGGCGCCGCAATCTGAGTTTCTCCCAGTCTAGCGAGTTGGAATCAGGTTTAAGAGGTGATACGTGAATTGACGCTAAACCTAGCCTAAATGGCGATGGGCTAGGACGGAGTATATTTATGACTATACCACCCGCGGCTAAGGTGGAATCCACAAACACTGGCAACCACGTAGTTCTCTGTAGTTTTATTCATAAATCAATGTGGTATCTATATACTCTTTGCGTTTACTGTTCAGTTGAATTATTCCTAATCAATATGATAGATATCGTGTTAGAAAGGCGACGCAATCTGAGTTTGTCTCACTCCGCTTCTTAATTTTCAGTCACCGATACAACCCTGAACAATCATATGACCACCACTGGGCCCCCTCCTAGACAGATTCCTAAATTCGTCTCTGGCTGGGGTTGTTATTTTCAAAGTTTTAATTTAATAATGCTGGTGGAAAAATTTATATTGCATAGAAAAGCCCTTAAAGAGTCCTGGCGATTGAGCATTGGGTCAATACTCTTAAATATTTTTATAAAGCATTTATAGTTAAGCTTGACAGTTCAATATTTCGAAGTCGAGGCTACTTAGCACGATCTTTTGACAAATCTAATAAGATAAACACAATCCATCATCGGTTGAGTTATAAAACACGACTCCACAATTACCCAACGTCCTTTGTTCCGAAATCAATATAATGGTTTTTTCATTATCTCAAAGTTTGTCCATTTGGTACTATTTTAAAGTAGAGTATGAAGGATTTTTATTTTGGCGAGCCGGATCGGTTACTCGAAAAATCTTACGGCCACTCTCACTCTAGAATGGTATATTTTTGTTTCGTTTAAACGAATTTTGCTGATGTTTAAATATAAATCAGAAGTATTAATGACGTGGAAAAGAGTTTGTATGAATATTACCTCTGCCTTCAACAGCCTGTACCATTCCAGCAATAACTGCATTTGTTTTAACTGCAATAGTAAAACCTTAAATCTGAATCTACTGTAAAAGGTTGCATACCCCAGGAAAAGTTTAGCAGATCCCCATTTTGAAGACAATTCCGTATTTTTTAAATACTATAAATACGGTAGAATCCTGAACAAAATTATGTTAGAAAACGATGCATTACGGGCAGATAGCGTGGAAATTCTTCTGATGAAATTTGTGTATCTGTGTCATGCCATGTTGTTACAAATTTGACCCACCCTTCCCATTCGATCGCAGTACGTCGTTTCCAATTGCAGGAATAGGCGGACCATAAGAACTTTTCACATTCCGTATGCTGTTTTGGATACTCAATCTTTTAAATTTTTTGTATAAAAGTCTTGATCGCATTGGTGAAATACTGAGGCGATATACTTGAAACTGTTATTATGATAAAACTTTTTATCCAAATTCTTGGGTCGACCTCATTGTTAAAAAAATATATGCTCTATTCGCCTCTCTTGCATTGGTCATTAAATAGAATGACATATGTTGAATAGACTACCAGTTAGTGACGTTTCGGCTGCTTCGGCAGCCTCTATCAAAGAGCGAATCAAAATAATGACAAATGAATATACAGTGCTTTTCAAAAGAGACTCTCCCCTACTTATTTTTTGAGAGGGTCACGTCAGAATGCTGAAATTTAGGATAACGAAATTGATCAATGAATATTTAAGCGTAACAGTTGCAGTTACAAATTTCAAGAAGGCGACTGGGCGCCATTTTGCATTATATTTTAAATGGAATGAGGGGTCGCGCAATGTAACATTTCACCGGTGTAGCAGAATTTAATTAAAAATCGAAAAACACATTATTGATGAAAACATGTGGTTTTGTGAAGAAAAATGTCCCTATAGGATATATAAACGCATCGTTTCAATATTACGTCGCCTATTATTTAGTAGACTACCCCTATTGCACTTAACCTGATAAAAAGAATTCGCCCTTATTCGTCAACTACGTATTATAGTGACTGTGCTCTACAACTGGATTTCTGTATGAAAACTTATTTTTGATTCATTTAGGTGTCATCTTCTGAGAGTAGCTTTTCACATAAATAATATCATTCAGAAGATATAGAGCAAGATTATACATAGTCATGCCATAAGTTCTGTCCCTCGTTTTCAAACAAGTGTAGACCTGTTAATACTTGTCCGATTGTTTACATTGTGGTGTCAGTTGATTAAGCGCTTTTCGGGTAATTACATATACCTCAGTTTGTATTGATCTCTCGAAGCATAACGATGGAGTGGGGCAAGGCAGAGAACCGTATTGCAGTGATAGCTTTACATAAGTGTAATCACAGTGCTAGTCAGATTTTTGAACTCTTACGCGGCCTTCAAATATCGCGTAATTTGTGTCTAGGACCATTCAGCGGTACAATGAGACGTCCTCTGTTGATGACAGGCCAAGAAGCGGAAGACCTCGTCAAGTAAGGACTCCAGCAGCCATCAAAGCCGTAAAAGCCAGGATTCAAAGGAATCCACTCCGGAAGCAGAAGATCCTATCCAGGGAAATGAAGATTCCTGTCCGGACGATGTCGCGCATCATTAAACAAGACCTAGGGCTAGGGGCTTACCGGAGACGTACGGGCCAGCGACTTACGGCCACCTTGCGACACATCAGGGCGACAAGATCCAAGAAGCTCTTGGAGAGGTACGCAGCTGGGGGATTCCGAAAGATTTTGTTCACGGATGAGAAAATCTTCACCATAGAAGAAAAATTCAACCGACAAAATGACAAAGTGTATGCAAGGAGTTCACAGGAAGCTTCGGAGATCATTCCGAGAGTTGAGAGAGGCCACCACCCTGCGTCAGTCATGGTTTGGTGGGGGGTGTCCTACGAAGGGGTCACTCAGCTCCATTTCTGTAAACAGGGCGTGAAAAAAAAGCGGCAAACTATCAGAGCGACATACTGGATCCTATCGTCAAGCCTTTAAGTGGTACATTGTTTGCCAACCAACACTGGGTCTACCAGCAGGATTCCGCCCCCGCTCACAAGGCTAAGAGTACGCAGCGCTGGCTGGAAAGCAATGTGCCAGAGTTCATTGCTGCGGAAGATTGGCCCTCAGGGAGTCCGGACCTCAATCCTTTAGACTACAAGTTGTGGGACCTGCTAGAGCAGTTGGCCTGCTCCAAAGCCCACCGTAATATCGAGTCCCTGAAAGCGGATTTGATCCGATCAGCGGCAGCTATTCCTTTGGAAGCTGTGCGTGCAGTGATAGATGAGTGGCCCGCGAGATTGAAGCAGTGTGTGAAGGCCAAGGGGGGACATTTTGAATAAAATGTTTGATTATGAATTCTAAAAATGTTGTCGAATAAATAATATCTTTCATATAAATATATCTTATCTTGTTTCATTTTTATCATGAGATTATCATGGGACAGAACTTATGGCACGACTACGTAATTTACAATCAATTGAATTTGCTTTTGTTATATTCTGGACTATTACTTCAGTGTACCGTGAAATACCGATATCTGCCAACTTTTTTCCATATACTACAACAGCTTATCTGTCTAACGGTAGTGAATTGTCTGCGATCTTGTCTTGGTTTTATTTTTTTATAATCTTTATCAAATAGAAACGTTTCGAACTATAACTGATATCCTTTCTACAAATTATTTATTTGGGTAAAATCCACACCAGAGGTTCCGCTGACGAAACAAAACTATTGATATCGATTGTTTGATAGGTGATTGCTGATCTATTCAAAATAAATGAAATTGAGTACAAAATTATTTGTCCGGAGTTCTACCGAGGTACATTTAGTGCAGTCAGTGTTTTGGTTCATAAAAGTAAATCATACATATAGAAATACTTATTGGAAAGTTGGATATCTTAAGTTTCTGGGATAAGTTAATAGTGGACAGATATTGATATGCACGCCATCTACGAAGAGTTCACAATTCACTTAGATGTTGAAGATTCTTTATGTGGACAACTTTCCGTAATATAGAAATGTAATGAATGATAGGGTGTAATATAGGAAAACGTAAAACCATTTCGCATTGTATTTAGTCACTGAGTGAGATCTGGTATGGAAAAATACAGCCCTCGGAGTTTTTAAGACTTTCATTGCGTTATACTGGGAAGATTTTTGAGTGTATACACATTTTGGTGACAGCATAAGTTTGGCATTCAGATTGCCATGTGGAGTGATTACTCGTGTGATTATAGCGTGGCATATTTTTATCTATAATTTAGCATAATATATTTTTTTAATCTACCCAGGCGCCATCTTGAAATTAAAATATAATAATTATGGTCAATTCCATAATCCCGAATTCCAGGTCCCTAACATGACCCGTTCAACAAATAAGTAGGGGGAACATTTCTGGAAAGCATTGTATGAAATTAATAAATTTTCAGATTAATTTGTAAACAAAGATCAGTCAAATAATCACGGGATGTCCCTGCATTTAAAAATAAACGAAAATAGACGCAAGGAGAAAGTTTTGTGGAATGAGACTATGATAACTACGACTAATTGGAAACGCTCACTTGCTATGGTAAATTGACAGCTCCCTTTTCTGACGCTTGGAGCGGGAATCTCGCATCTCCGTTTCATTCTCAGGTCTAAATGGTGTCAAACAGATAATATACTCTGACAATACGATACCCGTTTTCTCATTTATGCAGTATTTAAATACGAAGTGGAGAAGTTTTTACTTTAAGTTGATAGTATTTCGCGATGTCTAGAAGAAGCAAGGGGCCACTGCTAAGAACCTACACTATAGATAAATAACTTGCTCAAATACGTTAGGCGGATTTGAAGATTATTTTCCCAGTTTTTGAGATGTCGATTGAAGAGATTGGTCATTAGCTATGGGGCGGTGACAGCGAGGTCACGTTTTGCTGGAAGCTCCTTTCCTTCTCGTAGCGCCGCGCTGATGAACACGTGGAAGATTCAGCCGATGAACTTCAATTGTTATTTTGTAATAGTTAAGATATCACCTGTACTGATAAGACAGGTGTTACGAGTCGGAATGCCAATTTATGATTGATCTTCGGAAGGTTGCTAGGATTGAAAATATCAATTCGCTTCTGTTAAAAAACTGAACTAGTCTAAAAAATATTGAAAAATTTGCCTTATCCGAAACCCTTTTTTGCGTTTCAATCTAGTTATTTCGGTCAATGTCATACCTGCCTAAACAAGGCTAAAAAAATCAGGAGGTAGATGATGAATATTACTTTTTGCTTGTTCTATCATACCTATACATCACGAAAAATCATAACTTAATTTCGTCAATCTATCAGTAGGCCAATATGAGTATTCTCGTGCTTGTTACCGCGTCATGTTAATGAAAGCTACTCCTATTTTTAAAAAATTGTAGGAGCAGTATGCTATGGGTAGGTCTGGCTACTATATAAAATCCTCTGATTTGCCGTGGGATAATAAGCAAATGCCATCAAAACATTCCCAAGTTTTGTTATAGTTGCTCATCAATTTTTTGAATAGTTATTTTGTTCAAATTTCTCAAATCTCGTATGTGTATATTTTTTATTTCTGCCCATTTAACGCCGCGGCAAAGAGGACTCCATTCTTGAAATGAGGGAATAGAATAACAGAGAAAGTGGGCATGGTTCTCTTATCTTTCGGAAAACTGTAATCTTGAAAGCTAATAGAATAAACTCTCCCCGAGAAAAAGAGCGAGCGACTCGCCATCGTTCATCAATCCCATCTGTATAGACAGAGTCAACGCTCACTGATATGAAGGAGCCAGGAAGCTATTGTTTTGCCGAAATTGAATGCATTCACACCTTGTAACCTCATATTTTGATGTCATTTTCAAGAATAGGAGTCCAGGACTTCATCATGCAGGGGTATCAAATGAATAATTAATACTTCGCTTGGATTTCAAGGCTTTTGTTCATGTTGAATATAAAGCGCACTCCGGATGGGCAAACCACCATTTTAATGGCTTATCCAAAAAGACATTTCGCTGCAACATAGAACCACTACCAAGTGCGATCGTGGGAGCAC